AGAAAAATGAAAATTAGTTGTATCGAATTATCAAAGAAGTAATTTCTATTCTATGTGTTTAATACGAATGTTTTCAGTAATTTCAAAAAAGTAAAAATACAAGTATATAAAATTCTTGGGATTTGTTTAAAGCTGATTAAAGTATTAAAAGCTAAGTATATCCAGACTTATTTGCAAACATCGGCGAATCTTTATTTGATATCGAAAACATATGAGAGATAAATTTGTTTGCTTCTGTCATTTGTCTTGAAACGGAAAAGAAACTAACTCAATATATTGGTCAAAGGATAAACAGATTTATCTAATAAAATTCAAGATAATATTATCATTAAACAAAAGAGATTATTTACACTTGAAATGAGTAATTAAAAAATTAAAATGCTTTTTTTAATATTTAAATATATCAATGAAATAAACAAAAAAAAAACAATAAAATTGAATAATTTTATTGGATGGAACAGGAAAAGGATACTCAAAATACATTAAAATCACACTAGAAGACTGTATAAATAAATTATATTAAGTACAGTACTTCTATAAAAAATATTTAGAGGCATTTTTGCATATAAGACAAATTATCATAACTGCTGCATTCTATTATAACTAAAATGTAATAAAATTAAGAATCAGATAATACAAGTATTTATAAAGTAAAATATTCATTTTGTATCAATAATAATTTCGTATGTATCTAAAAATTTTATTTTGAAATTATCTATCGCATTTTGACCTTTTTTGTACAGTACATCAACTATACCTTATCGCTTTTGGAATGAATCCAGAGACATTAAACTTAAGTTATATTGTAATTGAGAATATCAATGACAAACAATATCGAGGAAAAAATTTGAATTATTTTTAAAGACAGTTCTTAAACTAAATGTTCATACAATAATTAAATTTAGTCTGATCATCTGACTTAAAGTTATTTCATAGACAGCGTAGATTGGTGAATGTCGCATATAAGAATAATATGAGCACCCTGAAAATTTTCATACCTTGCAATACTGTTCAAATTTGTTTGATCTACGGACGTGTGTAGCTTATGACCTGTTTACTTACACGACATAAACCTAATTACATCGACATAGGCAAGTTTCGTTTTTAATCTTCAAGGTTATGATAGTAGTTTTCCCTGTATAGTTGTTATTTTGGAAAATATAGTTTTATTAATTTATATGGCATTTTCATAAAAAACAAAATTAGTTGTTTGGTTTATAAAAAATGATCACATGATTTTCTTGTAAGTTGTAACCGTATCGGTCATAAGAGACTCAGTACAAGTTGCAATCATGTTTATTCTAACCTTTCCGTTAGCGATGATATTTATTCCGTTTGTTTATTTTCTTATTATGAGCCACAAAACACAAGTAACTAGATTCAGTGCACGGACTGCTCATCGTGGGTGCACGAGACTTCCGTGATTTTTTTAGAAACTCCTGTTTTTGTGGCCTGTGTGTGAAAAATCAGCTACTTGAAGAGCCTATTCTACTAGACCTATAGGCTAGTTACATAAAAAAAAAAGTACTCACAAATATCTTTCTTTTTCTTTGGGGACAAAAATACCCCATAAACGCGTTTAGTTTTATTTGTAGCAAGAGCACCTTTCATAAACTTCCATTATTTCCGTTGGGACACGTCGCGCTCGATGGTATGTGTGCATATTACTCCGTATATGGGAAAGACGCACATTAACGATTGATTTCGTAAACTACATTTATTTATGAAATAATTTGTAATTTTTTTCATGGCTGTTATTTAGGAAAGAAAGAATTTAAGTAACTGATTTTGTAATTTAAATCATTATATGTTGCATTATTTATCAGCTGTGCGGAACAAATGTTAGCTATAAGCAAATCCCCCCAAATCCACCCCAAATATGGAGGGTTCCCTTCTAAAGCGAACTAAGTCCAAATTAAAATTCTTTATATTGTGTTTTAAGTTATTTGTAAGTTTTCTGCATTTTATGTTTAAAAAATGGTGTATTACACTACATTAAGTATATATAGTACTCATTAGTGTATTTTGATTTCTTTTTATGAGAAATTAAAATAAATTTTCTAAACAATTCGCTACCTCTGAAATATTTTACGTGGACTTGGTTCACTTTTGAATTGGACCCTCCATATAAAACTAGTCATTTATCAAAAAATTTCAAATGTATTTTAATATAGTTTCTAACGCTTGAATATTCTATTGATTATACTTAAATGATTACTCTATTGAAAACAAAACATATTTTATTAATATTATTTCTTTGTTTTTGAAATATTATATATGATGCAAAAGTGGTGTTTTACTCCTTTAACCCTATCTATAATGTGATAGCCTAACAATAATGCTAATAAAGTAAATCCCAAACATTTTTCTTGTGAAAATGTTTGGAATTTATTTTATTAGCAAGAAAAATGAAAATTAGTTGTATCGAATTATCAAAGAAGTAATTTCTATTCTATGTGTTTAATACGAATGTTTTCAGTAATTTCAAAAAAGTAAAAATACAAGTATATAAAATTCTTGGGATTTGTTTAAAGCTGATTAAAGTATTAAAAGCTAAGTATATCCAGACTTATTTGCAAACATCGGCGAATCTTTATTTGATATCGAAAACATATGAGAGATAAATTTGTTTGCTTCTGTCATTTGTCTTGAAACGGAAAAGAAACTAACTCAATATATTGGTCAAAGGATAAACAGATTTATCTAATAAAATTCAAGATAATATTATCATTAAACAAAAGAGATTATTTACACTTGAAATGAGTAATTAAAAAATTAAAATGCTTTTTTTAATATTTAAATATATCAATGAAATAAATCTGAATGTGCCTATATATTTATTCCCACTTTTTGATTTTAATTAATATTTTATTTTATTTTTCGGCTATAAATGTAATTTTTATATATCTTACAGACAATTTGATGAAACTAAGTGGTTTAACTATTAGTTTGTACACATTTTTTTACATTAATACGTTATAAGAATCTTAATAAGAAAATTATAAACGTTCTTTATAATATTTAAAAGTTGTATAAAGTAACAGAAAAATTCTTTCGGAAAATATAATAAAAAAACCCATTCATTCAAAATAAATTTGTATAAAAAATTATTTTCTGCATTTTGCCCTATTTTTTTGCCATATTTGATAAAAGTTATTAAATTGTTTAAATATTCAAATTATTTAAAAATTCTAAAACCGTATAAATTTGTTTCAAAAATCAAAAACAATAAACAAGAATAATTAATCTATCTCAAAAACTGTTGGAGCGAAGAAATTCTAACAAATTTTAGAATATTATTTTGGTTGAAAACATATTTCATATTGGTGAAAAATAATTTCATATTAATATTGCATTTATTTAATTAGAAAATTAATTGAATTGTTCATAAATTAGTATTTTATTACTAAATAAGATTTATTTCTTCCCGAAGGAAGAAAATTCTATTTGTCAAACAAATGCGAAAATAACTTAATACACTAACATAAAAACAATGTAATATTGTATAACTTTATATAATATATCATAGACAAGGAAACAGGAAAATTCATTGTCTTCTAAAACAGCGATAAAGTTTTTTTTTATTTAAAAGAATAACATGTTTATCAGTTGGCTATTAAATTTTGACTTACATCTTTTACATTAAATTACAAAGTAATTTATGCTTGGTATATTAAACTGAAATTTAATTATCATAAAATTAATTAAACCATGTCTGATACTTTAAATTTAGAATGAAAAAAAAGCATTTAAAACATCGATTATTTGTCATAATAACTATTTCTCGCTTGTATTGCGTATTAAGAACGAACTAAAAATAAAAAGTGAATGAATATAATAAGTTTATTCCAACTCAAATTCGAAACTGAACTGGATGACATAAATTCATATGTTTGCAAAAGTGAATCATTGGCACATGTAGAGTCTTATCTATATCCGCGTATATCGTGGTTATTCAGGACCTATTTCATAGGATTTTAGACTGGCGCCAATGAAGTCAGAGAAATAGATTCGATTTCCGACTATCAATAGACAGACTCCGAGATGACTAAACATCCAGGCACCTGATATAAAAGCGGGAAATATAGCACCAGAGGTCAGATTACAGAACAAAACGGAACTTAAAAATTATCCATTATCAAAATTCTAAGGAATTAAGTTGATAAATACAGATTTTAAAATATAAATCAGAATAGGACGAAAACTTTTTTTCTATAACTCTCACATTTAGATTTAAAAAGTTATCAATTACCAGTTACCAAAGTTACTAATACTAAATATCAAAAGTGAAAGAAAAAAATAAAAACATTAAAAACGATTATAATTAGTTATTTTTTATTGTTTTAGATAAGAGTAGGCTTATACATTTAAAAACAATAATAAAGTTATTAGTACAGTAATTTCCTCCGTACTTAAGTTTATTACAAGAAATTTGGTAAAAGTTTGAAATTGTTTCTCTAAATATTCCCTATTTTTATACGACTACATGAAAATGAGATTAAATTCAAAATATTTAATAATAAACAAAAAATTCTTGCTGCGTACTATAATTTGTAAATTTAGTGGGAAGTTATTTTCGACAAAACATTTTATGTGAATGTAAGAAAGAAAGAAATTAAGAGTGGGGGGAAAAATAGAATTTTTGGAAGAAATTAACTCAGAGAAAGACTTTTAGACTTAGCTTTAAAAAAACGTAGGCTATTATTTTTAAAGTAATATGATTATTTCATTTAGACTCGGTAATTATGTACCAAAAAACATCAAAATAATCAAAATATAATTTATATTTTTTTGTGTCAGATCAAGAGTATTGAAAATAATTAAAATTTCAATAACTAATTGTTATTACAGTAGAGCATCGATTATCCGACCCCCGATTAACCGTCATATCGGTTAACCGACCGTTCTAGTCGGCAAATTCAAATGTCCGCTAGTGATGTGGCACTACAATATTTGGCTATGTCTTGGCTACTTTAATATTATTTTTNCATACCTTAGATTTTAACGATCCTTACTAAAACACTAAATAAATCTTTTTTTAACTGCATTAAAATGTTACATTAGCAAGCAAAGTAAATATTGAGTGACTATTATCTTAACGATAACTGCTTAATCTTACATTTTATATTAATTACAGAACACCGATGCATTTAGAATGTTATCAGTTTTGTATTTATATTAATGATTTCCTTAAATGGCATTTAAAGAATCATTAGCCTTTCAAAAATTACTTTCGTTTAAATCGATTTTTTTTATTTTAAATCTGCAATCAGATGAAAATCCAACAACTTACCATGGATAGACTTCCTTTTGTTTTTAACAGAGTATTATTCGAATTTGTTAGGTTGGACACTTGACTAACGTTGTCTTGGATACTCTCGTATGAGTCACGAACTTGATGTTGTGGTGAACCAGTCCTGCTATGGAAAACAAACTGAGACATTTTCTTCGGAAATTTTGGAGGCGGACTTCGAATTAAATGTTCGTGTAAATTTTGTTCGTTTTCTTCTTTAATTATTAAATCTTCAAATTCTTCAGACACAAGTTTTTCTTCGTCGTGTTTCTGCAAAGACGAATAAACAGATGATGGAGATATAGAACCTCGGGAATCTCCATATAAAGAATAGCTTTCTAATTTTTGTTGAATATAAGGATTATCTTGTCGAGATAAGCGTAAGGCCTCCATATCTTCTTCCAAACTACGAACTCGTGGAGATACTGGGGATCGATTGCTATATACTGTTGATCCATGCACAGATGATGATCTATCGCGGGTTTCTATATATATATTCGTTGGAGTTGGAATGGGTTGAGTTCTTTTGATTTGAATTGTATTTATATTCTCACTATCAACTAAATTTTTAACATTATTTCTAGCTTTGGACGTATCATCTGGTAAATCGCTATCAGATTCTTGATCTTTTGATTTCTTCCTGAAAATATTTTAAACGTTAAAAATATAATAAAATATATTTTTATGTATAATAAATTCAAATTATTATTTAAAATTTTAAAACACGAAATTAAATTTAAATTGGTCAGATACCGATTTATTTTTTATTTCTAAAGAAAAGAAAAAATAAAATGTACAGAAATTGATCCGACATATTGTAAATTTAATTTTTATAAAACGAATTAATATCTGACTTAATATATCTAGTAGTATTTATAATATGTTATTTAATAATAACATTTATTAAATAATGATAAATACAATTACTTTTTTACCTAGTAAGGAAAAATTATATTTAAATTTTAAAAATTAAGTTTTTACATAAATTTATTTATAGAAAAATTTATATAAAAACTTAATTTTTAAACTGAAATATTCGCATGTTATTCAAAGTGCTGATGTAAATATTGAACTAAATTACAAAATTCTTAGTACTAAAACTTCATTCCAGACATGTCTATAAATAATTTATAATTTTATTTAAGTAATCCAATAAAACAAAATTAAGTAACTTTCGAAATTTTTAATACTCTTGATAACAAATTGAATTCATATCCAAATCGTATGTTTATAATCACCTAAGGTAACGGTATAGTAATAAAACGAATCTTAGATAAGAAAGAATAAAATTCTATAAAAATATGTATGAAAAAAAATGCATCTTAAATGTTCAAAAGTAAGAATCATTAACAATTTAACTCGACTTAAATGTTATTTTCGATGAAAAATGACTTATGATTTCTATTTTCAGTTCAAAACCTTACTAAATTAAATATTTAATTTTTATTTATGACTTTATTCCTAATAATTTCATTACATTAAATAATAAAATTAGCTACACTTTGAATACATATATAACTAGTTATTACTAATGTGTTGGACACATACGCCTCAATGCATAATAAATTATAATCACATTAATACAGAAAATTTGTTTTATGATAAATTAATTAATATATAATGAATATAATTGAATAACTTAGAGTAAGAAAGTGCTAGTTATTCCATTTTTGGCACAAACGTA